GCCTGACAGAAAAGTCCACGAAGAAAAACAAAATAAGATAGTTAAGATAAAATTTAAGACCTGAGATTCTTCTATTTAAGGCCAAATTACATATTTTCAAATGAATTTAAGACATTTTAAGGATGTGTGGGCAGACTTTCTTGGAACCTTTAATTCATAATCTACCTCTTTAAAAGTAAGTGACCCTCCACATTAAGAGCTCAGAAGATTTCTAAATCCAGGTATTCAGGTGTTCAATCCCATTGATCAGAGCTCAAACGTATCAATCCCAGTAGCTACTGGTCTGGGAACTGGTCCAGACCCGGAGAAGATCTGAGTTTAAACTGTGAAGGAGTTCAGTAAATCTCTAAAACCTTAAATAAACGGCTTCCGACACAAATTTAAACTCTTAAATCCTTTCCACAGATAATCTAACGACCCCTAATCTATGAGGCATCAACTCCTCAACTTCAGATTAACTTCCAGGCCTTTGACTCGCCGCTGATGCTGACTGGCATGGCGGATCAGAGTCTCCAGCAGCGCTGGCCGCCTCACGTCGCTGTGGCGACTCTCCGCTGTCACCCGGTCGGGATTTAGAGATCTCTGAAAGGAGGCAATTTCAGATTATCGCGTCCCGATCGGCGTTGTCGTTAATCTCCCCGAGCGCCGTCCGTATGCAACTTTAATTTGGGCACTTCAAGCAGCGGAGGGGATAAAGATAGCTTTTGAAGATTGCTTTTCATGTTGGCTGTGCACATCTGAGCATTTAAGTGCAGCAGAAAGAGATCCGGACGCTTTTTTTATTTATTTTTGTGGAAGAAAAATAAAAAAATGGGAGTCAGTCAGCTTGAAGAGGCTGGAAAACGGCGGCGTTGGAGCCAATTTCCTGCTATTGTTTCACACTAAAGAGATAAACACTTTCTGCCTATCAGAGCGTCTTCTATATTTATACTTTTAGAATATCAAAAATACAGTAAGAGATTATTCTTTTCATGATATTATCAACCCTCCATTTTGTGCTCCACCTCTGTTCCTTAGATTTATTTTTTTTTGTATTTCTTGACTAATGCAACTTATATACTCCTGAAATTCCAGTACATTATAAGCATTAAACTGTTTTAGAACCAAAAAACACAAAAAAATTGTATTTTCTTACAAACATCAGCCAATATTTATGTAAAGTTGGGATGTTTTCCTTTGATCATAAGGAAGAAAACAATAAAACATGAATAAATTAATGGGAATGTGTTTTAAAAATGTGTTTTGAATGGAAGTCATCACTAAAAGTGCCAAATTTAAATTTAAAAGCCAAATGGTTTAAACAAAACATTTTCATTTCATTATTTTGAACCAAATCTTTCTCAAATGAGATTTCAGTCGGCTCAGTACTTTCAGACAGAATCGTTTTAGGGCCTCCTGTCACTTTAAATCCAAATAAAATCCAAACAGATGCACAGTTATACAATGGTACATCTTTGAAAAGCATAAATGGAGCCTCCTGCACAAATACCAAGAATGCAGCAAGTGGTTTCTGGATGGTAAGTCAACAACAAAATACTTCTTTTTCAGCAGCCATTGTACATGCATAGAGCGGTAAAACCAGCTGGTCAAATGTATTGGAGCTCAGCCTGGGATGCTAGGTAACAGGGCGGAATTCTGCATCGGTGGCTAGATAACGGCGCAACCGTTGAATGTGATTGGGCAGTCCTCAAATTCAAATTCAAAAAAACTTTATTGATCCCAAAAGGGAATGAAATGTAGTAACTGGAATTAATTCAAAATCCTTCTAATCATTTTGAAACGGCTCATTTTCCAGACACCAAAAAGCATCAATATATTGCAAAAATCGGCTGGGTGACTTTTTTTCTTTTTAGCATTGGGCTGCAGTAGAAACCCAAATGGAAGCACAAAGATGTGAACTTTCTATAGTAGGTCCCCTTTCTGGATAAAATATTAATTTCCATCAAAGCATCCAAAACTACGCTACATTAACAAGCCAAGAGCCGATGGAGGAACCAGGAGGGTTACCAGCTTCATTCCTCCCTGCCTCCATGTTCCACAGCATCTGTAGTTAAACGGCTCTCCTCCAAACCTACAGCTCACCCGGGCCGCGTCGCAAACGCTGCGGCGCTCTGAAACGACTGCGGCGTTGGAACCGGCGCCGCTCGTTACGGACCGACGGGTCGCTCCGATCGTTGCAGCAAAGCGTCCCCGCGGCTTCTTTGTGACTTATGAGAGTGGACCGGGTCCAAGCGCCTGCGGCCTTCCTGTTTATTTGCAGCGACGGCGCAGGTCGATGGCGGCGGCGGCGTGGGGTCCGGCGGATCCAGCTGAGCTCGTGTAAACACCCACCCCGGGAGCGGCGCTGAAAGTGGCTATTTTTCTCCAGTGAGAGGATTTTAAAACAATTTTACTGCTCATTGTTTTTAACCCAGAACCAGCCTCTTAAAAACGTCGGACAATCCGGCGATGCGACCCCTCGAGTGCTTTGTGTATGCGGTTCGACTAAACAGTCCTGTGTTATGGCTCGTCTCGCTGCGACTCGTATAAACTAGTGAACTTTCTGTCCAACGGCTCCCTGACGCTTCTCTAACTTCAAGATGTTCAGGAGCCAAACTGCACTTTACTGCAGGCCTCAGAGAGCCTCGGCTTCCTGTGCTAAAGGCTGCAAAATGATATTAAAATGATGTTAAAGGCTCTGGGATTACTTACATATTCATATCCAGTGGCATTAAAAAGTATTTCCCCTTACAGAAAAGATTCCCTTATTTGGTCGCTGGGAAAAAAGAACAAAAACCAACATTTAAACTGAAAGAGCAGTAAAATTTACCACATAAACTAGTAATAAATTATTTCAGCTTCATCTCTTTGAATCTTCTGAGGATTTTTCTCTTACTATATAGTAAATTATTGCAAGTACACTGCAAAAACTCTCATTTTTACCAAGTATTTGTGTCTTGTGCAAACATTGTAGTAATGTTGAAAAAAGACAAAACTAACTTAGAAGTAACTTTTCATCAAAACATAGGAGCTCGACTCAGAACTTCTATTTGTTTTTTCACACTTAAATGTTTTAAAATAAGTCAAATAAAAACAATTATTAAATGTCTGGAAAATTTCAGAGTAATTTCAGTAAAGTCAATAACATTAATATTAGTTTTAGCGTTGTTCTGTTTTATCAGTATTCAGGTTTTTCTATATTCATGAACAAGAAAATTAGGTGGAAGGTAGAAATGGAAAAAACAAAAAAGTCTGACCAAGTATTTTTCTCTAGTTTTTAATGCAAATATCTTACTACAAAATGAAAAAGTTATAGTTCTACTAGAAAACTAATCTGCCAGTGAACTAATAATTTATAATCAATATTAAGGAATTATTTACATAAAACAAGCTCTCATATCTTGCTGAAAATGTTTTTCTAAGTTAATTTTCTTTTATTTAAATGTACTCAGATATTTGATTAGAAACTAGACTAAAAGTGTTTGGTAATATTTTGTGTTTTTGCAGTGTATTCTGTAAAAATAACACTTTGTTCAAGAGATCTCATGAACTAAATGTCTCTTTTCTCAGTAAAATATTCCTAATAAAAACTCACAGCTTGAAGAAATCTGAGGTTTAAAGGAGAATAAAAACAAACTTTCCAGCCGAGCTGCTCATCATTTTAATCAGGCTGAGTTGCTGTGCTTTAATTTGTGCTAGAAAACATTAGATAATGAGTGTTCAGCCTGAACCGTCTCCCTGTCACTCTGGACCTGCAGCGTCTTCATCCGGACGCGTCTCCAGCCCAGCTTACGTAAAATGGCCGCCGTTCTGTTTGTCAACATGACACCGGGCCGATCCGAGGGGAAAACCCGCTTATTCGCTGCGACAGAACCGGGACGGCGGCGACGGCGGCGGCGTGGAGTTCTGGGGAAACGCGGGCAGCGGTTTGAGTGTTGCCACCATGTGATAGCTTCTCCAGGCTGCCTGTGAACTTTGACCCCCGCTCCCAGAGAGAGGGTAGGGGGGGAGCGGGATCCGGGCCAGGGGTCAGAGAAATGTCCCAACAGCAAAGTCTAACCTCGTTTCGCCGCGGCGGACAAACAGAAGCAAACAGTTCGGGCCGCGTGTTCTGCAAAGTCGAAAGGCCAAACCAGTGAAGATGGCCGACTTTGGGGCTTCTTCCAGAGCGCCGCGGCGTTTCCGTAGGCGACGGCGGCGTCGGGCGCTCAACACCAAACAGGTCGCTCTGATCTCACAAACTACTGCTGCACTTTACACTGCAAAACCACAACAGATAGGAGACAATAAACCCTGAAAAATACAGATTATTTCCCTTCTAACAAAACATTTTTCTTTTTGTAGAAGTGAAATAATCTGCCAGAGGATCTAGAACCTTTTCATAAATATTAAAGAACTACTGACTAAAACTAAACTCTTATATCTTATTGAAAATTACTTGTAAGTTAGTTTTGTCTTAAGAAACTAGACCAAAAATACTTGATAAGAATTTGTGTTTTTACAGTGTAAAGGTGAACCTTTTCTACCTTCCACTTAATTTTATTGTTGACGTTTCTGTTTGAACACAGAAAAACGTTAATACAAAACCAACCTAAAACTCTAATAATTACTTTTATTGACACTAAATAAAATAAAAGACTTTAATCAATAAATGGAAGATGTTGATTTTTTTTCCATGTTATTTTCTCTAATTTAAAACATTTAAGTGAGAAAAACAAATCTTTCCTGTATCCAATGCCACTGGATATGAATTCATTAGTTATACCTCAACTAATTAATATTAACTTTAATATTTTACATTTTTGGAAAACATTAGATTTGAGTTTTTGCAGTGTACCTGCGCTACATAAGAGAAAAAAAATCCTCTGATGCTCAGAGAGATATTTAGAATTTACTTAAATAATTTATGAGCAGTTATTATACTTAAAAAAGAAACAGTTTTTTTTTTTTTACAGTTTTAACCCGCTTATGTGTTAAATATTTTTGTTCTTTGAGCTTCAGTGTTTGTTTTTGTGCTTTTTTCTGAAAACGTGAATATAAGTGAATATTTTCATGGCGTTCTTTTCATTGTGTTTATTCCTCCCGTTGTTTTCCTGTAGACAGTATTTCTGTGAATCTCTGATGATTTATTTGTTTAAAGTTTTGTAGCCTTTTTTCCGTTTTTGAAGACGTTCCATCTTCCTTTTTGTTGTCAGTTTTTATGTTTTGCTGACATTAAACCTTTTTAAGTTTTATTTTGTTTCCTGTGTCACTTCCTGCTTTTAACACTGTTTACTGTCTTTAATCACCATGTTGTGTTCATCAGTGTCTTTCTAACCTTTTGAAGCCAATTAGTGTCTTCGTTTAGTGATTTTGTGTCTTTTTGGACCCGTGTTGCTGCTTTGTGTTGTTATAGTTGCTTTGTATCTTTTTGTGACATTTTCTTACTTTGCGTCTGTTTATAATCTGGAGTTTTAGTGAATTTCCATGTTAATTTGTGTCTCCATGTTGCAGATTTCTGGATACTTTGTGTTATTTTGTTAACATTGTGTCTTTGTTTTTCCTCGTTTTCTGTATTTTCAGAAATTGTGTCATTTTGTGGACCTGCTGTGTTCTTTTATT